GAATTCACTAAAACCTTGTTTCTCTTAAAATGCACCGGAGCCGTCTTGTGTAGAGTATAGGCATCTTGCTTCATGAGCCAGTTTTCTACGTCTGAATCTGCGTACCAAACTCCAGTAGTGTCAAATAGGGCCTTTTTAAGTTTTGCTTGCCTCCGTAACCCCCTGCATTTTCTGTCGCATAGTATACAGTATATTCCTCATCACCTCCTCCATGATCTTTGTTACCAAGATTGACGCTTCAACGTCTGTGTTTTATTTCCAACAACATATGCAACATATCCGTCAGCAATGAATACAAGTATACACTTTTCAAAAATCAGTACAAGCACCTATGTTTTTACAAACCAAAGATTCAGTTAAGCAATACATCACATCAGCAACATCGACAAGTTGTTTTCTGGTTAGCATTAAAACACACAAATCAATGCTAAAAGTACAAAAACAAAACACATGACCTGTATGAAAATCATTATTGTTCATAGGAAAAACATTTGCTATATCGAGTAGAGTAGATTTCACATCTGCATATTTATCCGCTGTCATTTGCACCGTGGTACGCCATCCAGAGGTCATTCGTCTAACACATTCTGTCTGTTTGTCAAATCTAGAACAACATAGTGTCCTATCTGTGTCACATATCGCATTGTTAGCAGCTTCACACAACAGTGTTCTCATCTTATACACGATGTATCTCTTTTTGACATGGTTTAGTAGACTAGACACATTCCCCATTGTTTTTTAGTGTTGTTCCCCCTTCCAGATGTCCAGAGATTCCTTAACTACTGTGTTCACACTGTCCTCCACTCTAACTACCCGTTTAAGCGAAGCAATGAGAAAAGGGTTCATCAGCCAAATCTGTAGAGCAGCTGCTGCAATGTCTCGAATACTGCATTCACATATTGGCACCAACCCAAGACCACGTAGGATGTACTTTTGAGCATCAGCGAAATTTTTGTTAAAAAGTTTCTACGTAATTTCTCTCTTATGTCCTTTAATATAAAAGAAGGGTAGCGTGTCAATGCATGTGAGAGGTTGTTTTCTGCACCATTCATCTGTATATGCACAATACACACATGTTTGTAAAGCTTTTTGCTGCAGTATACGTAGTAAGCTACGGTTACCTGTATAATACCGCTAGCAGTAGTGTTAGGAGATGTGTCCTTGTCGCAACAATCCAGAGTGTCCAAACAGGCACCCTTAAAATGCTTGGCCCTGCTCTTGTCCTCTTCTGCTTTTTCTTCAGGAACGAGAAATGTTAAATTTCTTTTCCCCAGTTCTTTGCCATAGTCACCCACCCATGAGTTATCATCATCCTGGAGTAATGGAAAATATTTAGGGCTGCTCGATAGATCCTCACCCGCTGCACATGTCCTCGTACCTGCACAAAACATTTTAGAACAATGTCACCGTCAGCCCCGTCGTGGAGGTCTTTGAGGTTGTCTGTGGTGTTGTTTGTTGTTCATCTTGCTTGTCCTGAGGACCAAAAAGTTTTCTTTTGATCCCTAACATAAAGTTTATACCATCTGAATAATTTATCAATGTGTGAGAAGATTTCAAGGGTTCTATTTCATTCACGATCTAAAAAAGGATTCTGGGTCGTAGACTTCAAGGTCTCTCCAGGCACAGACCCGCACCATTGTGTGGTATTGACTCCTTTTGAAGCACTCATATCTTTACAGACTTTGTTTCTGAAGTAATTCCAGTCTTTGGCTGAAAAACTAATGTGCGGTGTTCTTTCATAAAGAAAAATTTCATCAAGCTCTCTTGTATAAAGATGAACTGTTCCATGCTCAAACAAGAATACTGACATTGTAAAATCTTCCACCGCCCATTCAAACGAGACGCCCAAGCCTTTCGGTCCAGAAAATCAGCCAATGTTGTTGGGGGAGTCTTCTTTCTGGGAGCCATACACAACAGGATCTATAATTATACGTCATTTTGGAGTCATTACTCTTAATTGATTACCTGCGACGTCCATGATTGTGATGCTGCAAAGATGGCGCTGTTGTTCTGCACGAACATAGCTCTTTCCGATACAGATTTACCCAAAAAATCGTTCAGTCACACTGCTCCACGCTCTTGGTCAGATGTAAGTCAAAAAACTAGCCCGCTATATATATACAACCGATTGCTAAAGTCACTCCCAAACATTCGCTTTTAGAGGATATCACTGGACATCCCATATACACAAACCCCCCTTTTCACACCCGTCTTCCCCTTTTGGTGATCGACCCCCACCACCGCTAATAGAGAATGGCCAGACATGCCCTAATACACACACCCATTTTCACACACCCCATGTCTTTATTGTTCAACCTTGCTATGACCCCAATCTTTTTTTTTCTTTTTTTTTATTAATACATTTATTTTTTAATTAAATTACATTTTTTAAATAAATTTTTAAAAATAATTTTTAATAAATTTTTTGATTAATCCAAATTTATTCACGTGCACAACTGTTGTTTGCTGGCCTTTATTTACTACCAACAGTCAATGTTCCTATGACCAAAAGCACTCCCATGGTTTACAGGCCACAGCTTGAGAACAAAAGATCCTACAGGGCTGTAGATTGATATCCTGCATGTCTGTAGCTCCTATGGGTCGCCAGCAGAGGTAGATAAAGACTGCCTCCGCCAAAGCAAACTCTTCTCTACTTCAATCTGATGACGAAAGGAAACTTATTAGCTCAGCCGACCTCACCAAGATGGCGGTCCACCAGACGGTCTCTGTTGACACAAAAAACTGCTGTCATAGAGCCCTGCGTGGGCCTCAAATCTAGGCCCTAGCCCTCCTAACCATTACACAGCTTACTGTTGCAGCCAATAAAACTGTTCTGTTATGTTTTTAATGGAATTAAATGTTTTAAATTAAAGTGTACATTTAAACTGGACCCAAAAGCACAACACAGCCAGATAACCGTTTATTGTAGAAAATAAACAAATTCAGTTCACAAGGGGCGAGGGAGATGATCCAGGTCCAGACAGGGAAAACAGAGCGATGTGGTTTGGCTGAAGCAGTGATTGGGGAGCAGGTGGGCAAGGAGGCAGGCTGGTCCAGGTAGTCTCTGAGACGAGGGAGAATACACAAAGGTTAGTTGACACAAGGAAAAGTCACAAAACACAAGTTAACAAGCCAAGGTGTGTACTACTGGAGATACACAGATGATCTGGCAAATACTAGCATGCTGAACTGGATTGATTTGAGGCGGTTGATTAGAAATGAGATGCAGGTGTGTAGAGACCCAGAGTGCAGGAGCCAGGGAAGAAAGCCATGCCCACCTGCAAACCAAGCAGACTCACAGGCAAAAACAGACAGAGAGGCACAATAGGGTGGAAGAAACAGCAGAGAACAAAAGGTAAAGGACTTGCCTACAATATAATCCATAGATATAAAACACTTCAAACATATTACATTGTCAGTTTAAGTGTTTATTATAGCTAGTAAGAAGGCATTTTTGACAGGCGGAGGCAGGCTGCTCTTATATTTGCCATATTTTTGCAGCCTACAATCTAAACAAATAGGCTAATAATAAAACAAGTACATGCAGGTCACTTTGCAGTCCATGCACCCGACATGCTGGTTTATGGACTGCATAAATTACACAGCTGCTGGTTTTGGCCAGATGGGCGCACACACTATTTTCCATCAGAGCGGAGCACATTCCTGGCATACAAAACAGAGGGGTGGCCATCATGTCAAGGGGGTTGATTCCCCATTGCTAGACCGTGTGTAGCAGGTCTGTTGACGATCTGGGTCTCCCAAGCCGGAGGGGTGATCAGGTGCTATCTGAAGAGGGGCAGTACTTAGAAGACAGGTCTCTAGCAGGATGTGGTATGCACCATCAAGTGAGCGAGCGCTGCGTCCACTCGGCTTTCGTATACCCCAAATTGGACTGCGTTCCAGGTCTGGACACTGTGGCCTGCCTCCTGCCCTGTGTGCTTTTGTTCCTCCATCTTCTAATGCACAGAGAGTTGTTTTTCAATATGTTAAAACCTATGCTGCTGCCATTTCCTCCTGCCACTAAGGTTTCAGTGACAGGACAGTGTTAGCTCAACTGTTGTTGAAGCGTTTCCTGGAGGGCGTGCGCATGGCCTCCTTACAGGTCAGAGGAGGAAGCTGCGTTTCATCTCCTCTGTCCGGTGCACCCACTGTTTTTTGACTTTTAGTTTTAATTCTGACCCAATAATCCCTCCATAGTCCCTGTGCTCTTTTGTCCACTTTTATCTGTCTCCCGGGTCACGACTTACTCTGTAGTGAGTGTTCGTGTAGTGCGCATCCCCCTTGTTGGATAGCGCGGGGGTGCTTGTGTTAACCCTACACTGTCTACAGCGGTTACAGTGCATTTAACCAAATGTATTAAAATGTATCAAAACATAAATTTAAGTTCGGACCTTGGTGCAGATTTTCAGTTGTCAAAGCGCCCTTATACACAGGGTGAGGCTGTGGTTGTGGCCCATCCCAATGGTGGATGATGACAAAGCTCTTCAGTGCTGCACATGTGCGTGAGGCATAAACCCACTAGCGATAGCCTTAGACTTTTATACTCATAGAATCTGGAACGTTCATTCAGTCACATTGACCCAGGCTTTTCCCCTATGTGTTTTTTACTGTGGTCTGTTCTTTTGCCAAACAGCTGCATTCTGCCAGTTTTCTCAGTCAACTGAACAATTGTGCTTTTAGTTTTACAGTTACAAACAGCTGAAATGTTTACTCTAAGGTTAAATCAATGTCACTTTCCAATACAGTTAACTTTCCAGATATCAAAAGATATTTTCTCACATAACTTTAATCATTTAAATTATGGAATCAAAACTTATTTATTGTTTATTGGTTGTTTAGACATACAAGAGTGCAAATGGCCACCACAGCATAAACAGTAGCTAACCTCATTTTATATCACCAAGACAAGCTCAAGGTGCTGCTGACATTTGTCTTTCAGCTGCATTAAACTCACTGCAGAGCACTAACACCTCTCTCTTTGTGCTGTTTAATTTCTACAGGACGCAGTAGAACCAGACTATGTAAACAGAGTGATTGAGATTCAAGCATCATGAAGGAGAAGAGGGAGATGTCATGTTCTCCATAAATGCAAAATGTCTCTTTCTTAATCGTCTAATTCTTAAATAATGGATGGATGAGTGTAAACATGACTGAGTTTTTAAATTTATAATAAAAAAACAATATACTGTATAGTCATCATTTATCATTTTTATTGTATTGTTTTTATTTGTATTTAGTGCTTCATGTGAGCTTTATCTTTAGTATCTTTTATGTATTCATTTATTGTTTTACTGTACAGCACGTTGTGTCCACTTGGATTGTAAAGTGCTCTATAAATAAATTTTGATTGATTGATCATTAGTTTGTATAAGATTCTTCTGGTAATTATTGTAATTTGACTGAACTGTGTTTTCTTTGTCTTTAGAAATATAAAGAGAAATAAAGTATTTCAATGTGTTTAAGGCTTCAAAGTCTGTTTTCCATTATGTAATAAAAAAATAGTGTTTTTGTGAAGCAGTTTATTTGCCTTTTGACTGTTTCCTTTTGTGGGGTTAATTGATAACTTATCTGTTATAAGTAAATAGTTATTTCAATCATGTGAAAAGCTTGTGAGTATGCAGGGCAAAGAAAGTAGCCTGCAACATGTTTCCTACTTTCCCTTGAAAGCATTTCATAACTCAGCTGCTGAATGATCCATACATGTACTGACAGTGGCAGACATTATAAACATTATAGCAAGTCCTCCAAGAGAACAAAACATTCATTACAAGACACATCGAATGTATATCTCTGTGTAAAAGAGAAGTGGTTGAGGGTAAACTGAGGATGTCGGTTAAGAGTGCTTAAGAGCTTACAGAGGAAGATGGTCAAGTTCCCAAATATTTTTTTTAAATATGTCAATAAGGACATTGATTAAAGTAAGTAAAAAAGACTATTAAGACATATAATGTTTCTACTTACCTTCTTTATGATTGGACATGAACACTTTTACAGCTGTGTTCTGCAAAAAATGCACAAATCTTCCTTTTTTTCAAATCTCCTTTATGATGTGCACTTGTTTGTTTGGTGCATGTTGATAAAACCACAACAGAGTCCTCACCTGATCCAGCAGAAGGAGCCTTACCAACTCTATTTGTTGCCACAATCAGCCGTTTTCTTTTGGGTCTGTAAACTGGCCTGAATGTACTAAACAGAAACTCAGCAGGAGAGGATCATCTGAACCTTTATCCCCTGGAACTGTCCTACATACAATACATTAAGTTCATTTTGTTTTTAATTGTCACTATTAATATGTAATATCAGCTACAGAAAACATAGGGAATATATGATTGCAGTCAATACAATACTATATTAGTGTGTAAACTTAACTAGTTTATACTAAAGCTAGAAAATTATTAAACTAAATAATTAAATCATTTGCACCGTGATGAGTTTAAGATGCAACAACAGCCGACTTCTTCACTGACGGTGCGAGTAAAAATGTAAGTAAGTAAAAATGATAACTTGTATTTCTGCGGTATAGAGGGTATGCGCATGATGTCACAGAACGCAGTTACGGTCACTGAGTGGCAGAAAGACGAGCAGCAGTGTTAGCCTGAATAAGCTAAAACACAAACAACACATCTAAAATGGGAAAGAGCTGGACCACTGGTTCTTTGGTAAGCAGTTAGGATCACTGTTGAGTCCGATTGCCTTTAATATGACCAAATATTCACTTCTTTTACTCCCGTTTTTCTAAACGTAGCCATGGTGACAGTTGTTTTGCCACTCAGTTCAGCGTGTTCTGGAAGGGGAAGTGACAGCGACGCATATCGTCCATTGTGTGATATCGTGTTAGAAACAACCACGCAGCTTGTTTTTATATTAGCAGGGAAGTCAGTTACTGGTCTGTCGCAGTTCTGCTGAATTTCCCTGATTTTAAAACTAATTGTTTCTCTGTTTCAGCTGCAGGCTCGTTTGGTATAAGGTAAAATGTTATTGCTTTTTATGTTTATACTTATTTAGCTAATTTTTATGAACTCAGCTGAAAAAGACATGATATATTTCATTAGTTGAGTTTTGGTTCAGCAGAAATGAGAAGTTGCTTCAGCAACATTTTATTTGAACTTTAATATGATAAACTCTCGCTGGATCATTTTGATTTTATATTGAAACTGTGCAGCCCTGCAGATATTAATCACTCCTTATAACACAGTATCATCTGGAGTAGAAGAAGCCAGTCAGAAGCACGAAGCTGGCAAGCTACCGTCTTCCTCAAACAAGCTGACGATGTGGATTTGTGGTCAGAAACTGAAAGCTGTTAGTTGAGAGGTAATAGATCCCACAGCAGCTAATGTTAATTGTTATTTTTTTATTGTTATTTTATATTATTATTTTATATTGAAACTGTTCAGTGCCATGTTTTCTTATTTAATGACTGAGGTGTGTAAAGTGTTTTACACATGTAGCGTTTGTTTAATAGCTAAAATTCTATACATGGCTAACCTGTGTGTGAAATAGACGAGGGGGGCATTTGTTCTGTTACTGTACTTTAAGTATTTACATAAGTAGCTATTTATACTAACTGGCCACTTTGTAAGGGAACACCTTCCTAATACCGGGTTGGCTCCTCTTTTTGCCTTCGAAACTTCCTGAGTTCTTCCTGGCATACTTTCATCAAGGTGTTGGAAACATTCCTCAGAGACTTTACAAAGCCTGTACAAATTGTAGCCTCAGTTTCCTGTTCTTAGCTGACAGGAGTGTGGTCTTCTGCTGCTTTAGCCCATCTACTTCAAGGTTCAATGTGTTGTGCGTTGGCTAAAGCCCTGGATGTTTTGACTGTAGCCCTGAATGTAACTCAACAACAACAACAACAAAAATGTTTTCTGTATTAATATGATGATGATATGATTTTCCATCTCTGATGAAGATTAGTGCCCTCGCCTCATACAGTCCCAGACGGGCTCTGTGTCTGTCAGACGGTCTAAAGGGGGTAGCCTACTACCACATAAGCCACATAAGAGCAATAACGCGTGGTAATGCACAGCAGAGGGGCTCAAAATATTATTCTGCAATCAGAGAACACAGATATGTGGGAAAGATTGTCAATGTGCAGAAAGTTTTGAACCTGAGCAGAAAACCTGCTGAAACACAGAGTTATTAACGTCCAGCAGTTTATAACTGAATTGAAATTAATTAATTTATCATTGAGGTGAAAAAGTGCCATGTGGACATTTAAAGAGGTTACTTCAGTCATGCCTGCATGTGTGTTGACTCAGCAGGGATGAAAATAAATGAGAAAAGTTGATCTACAGGAGAAACATATCTGAAACCAGGTGAAAACATGATTCTGGCAAAGCCCCCAATGTTTCAAGAGCCTGGAAACGCCCCTGCTCAAAGAGCACATTTCCTGCATTCAACTGCAGATGTCAATGTTTCATTGATTATTTATTTTACTGCGCTGTTGTGTGTGGGAGGCAGTTAAAGTCGACACAACTCAACAACTGAGTCAGGTGGGAAAATACTAAACTTTTCTGTACAGCACTGTGAATGTTTTGCATCTGTTCACAGTGAGTGTACTGTAACAAACATGAAAGCACTTGGACTGAACACTAAATGGACAAAAGAGACAAATATCCTTTTGTGACACAACTGCCGTTTGTCCAGTAAAAGCTGGATCATGACTTCAAGTCCAGAGGAAGGTCTACCTCCAGTTCATCATGCCATTTCATGTTTTTACAGAGTCAAACAGGTGAAGAGCTGGCTGTTGAAAACCCAGCAAGTAAAACCGAAGAAAAAGAAGAAGATATCCATTATGGAGAGATCAACTTTTTCAATTCATTATTTAAGTGCCCCCGTGCGTTATAGCGATGAGCCAACAACGCGCCTGACCACAATTTAATAAATTGAGCCAGTTTCACTTTAAAATCACCAGCAAAAGGATCTCTCTTTGATGTGGTCTTCTCTGGTTGGAATTTATTTACTGATTTTACTTCTTACCTACTGGATGAAATGTTCAACCCACCTGCAACATTTTGTGTTTCCAAGTATAAGATGCACAAACTCTTTATGACAGAGATTAATAAGAAGAAAGTGTCTCGGGAAAACTTTGACTCACTATGATCTAAACAGTCCCATTGTCAGCAGGTCGGATTTGTTCAGCTGGGGATTTGAACCCTCGCTACAGACCAAGTGATTTACTGACAGAGCTACTGGTGTAAGGCTGTTTCTACACACCTTCTCACAACTTGAGGTAGTGACACATGTGCCAAACCTGAATAGTTTAAACTTAAAATGCTTATAACAGTCAAAATGCTGGTGAGAAAATTCAGGAAAAAAATCACACATCATTCTGCTGCATCATTTGATCCAACACTGAGCAAAAAAGAAAATGTTGTCTAACGGTTTGACCAATTGAAAAACCCTTTCATACACTTGATATTGGCCATCTACAGACAGTCTGTGTTGATTTTGGTAGTGTTTAAAGAAAGACTTATGGAGATATAGATGTTAATTGGATTAGCACATTCAGAAAAATAGAGGGTGACTGACTTCTGAATTGACCATAGGTTGCAATAAGATAAACGGTTGTCACATCACATTAGTGGATGTGCTGAAAAAATTTGAGCTCTCTAGGACGTACAGATGATTTTCTTAGATTTATTGAATTTTGGAATGAGAAACATCTAGAAATGTACAGTTCTTGTAGTGCCGCCTAGTGGAAGTCACATTATGTCAGCAAAGCTCGGACCAAGCATCTGAACAGACGCGTCAAGTTTGGTAAAATTGTACATAACGACACGAAAGTAGAAGTTTATGAAGAAAAAAACGATTGATGTAGACAAGTGGCAAAAAGTCTCATTTTTAGAGCAGAGGACCATTGGAGCAAAGATGCAGATGAGTCCAGAGATTAAAATAATGAAACAAGTTTGACTCTATATGAAGCCGTTTTCGAGATGATTTCAAAAATGTAAAGTTGATTGTTGTCTGATGAGGTCTATGAGTGCCATTTTTTGGGTGGAGGTACCTGCCAATTTTGGTGAGATTTTGTCCAGCAGTTTTTGCTGCCCAAACACTTTCAGCGGAGAAAAAGAAGAAAGAAAGAATAATAAGAAAAAAAACAATAGCTTCGCTGCTTGGATCACTAAAAATATAATGTAATGTAATGCAGGAATCAGTAGCTTGTTTTGTTAGCTTAAGTTACTTTTTTGGGACAATTTGTTTCTATATTTTAATTGCATTGTATGTTTTCTTATTGTGCAAATGAACCTTTCTCTAAGTATTTTCAAAGCATTTCCTGTTGCAAGATATTTTTCAGAACATTTTTAACAAACGCTAAGTGAAAACATAAAGTGCCATTTCAAAATATCCCCAGCATCAACAGTGTAAATGACATCTATGACGGTGGTGGAAGAAGCTCTCAGATCCTTTAGTTAAGTACCAGTACAACAATGTACAAATACTCCATTACAAGTAAAAGTATTGTATTGTGTAAAACTGTAAAAGTGCTTCATTTACAATTGCCATTAGAATTAATACATTTATTACAAAGTACTTATTTTGTCCGAGGAGCAAGTGAATGCACAGTGAGCCACAGTTGGTTGCAATTTGCAACCCTCATCACTAGATGCCACTAAAAATTACACACCGAACCTTTAAAATAGCTCCTAATGTAACTCATCAGAATCAATGACTAAGTTGTATTTTAATATTCGTTAATCACACAGGAATAGTCGGTCAAAGGTGACAATGTTTAAAGGCCAGTGTCTGAACCAACAGCAGTGACCAGGTTAGGGTGAGAAATGGGGAGAGAGAGAGAGAGAGGCAGCCCAAAGCAATATCCACACAGAAATGCACATAATAGTACTACTAATAATACTAATATTTATAATAATACTAATAGGACTAATAACAATATTAGTAGCAGGCAGTGTCAAGCAGGAAAATAGGGGCAGCAGGCGGCCCACAACCACAGATCCAGACCCCACAGCTCCAGAGCCAGAAATACCTGCAGAAAACGACAAATGGAGAGAGGAAAGAGATGAGAAAGCACAAAACTGCGGGAGAGGGAAAAAGTCGAGTTAGTAACATTTCATCCTGATTTTGTGTGCGTGTGTGTGAATTTCAGTCTAATTTAAAAATTAGACTTAAAAACTTTACAAACTATACAGCATACAACATCACATGTACCTAGACCCTCGATTTGAATGAGGAAAAACACCCCCTGAAGAACTCTTAGACTAGGGAAAAATGGAAGAAACTTCAGAAGGAGCGGCAACTCAACAATATTCTCGGCTGCCAAACTTTGAGAGATCACACAGTTGTAAAGAATTACTGTTACTGATCAATCTGGTGTCTATATCGAGGAGGGCCACAGACCAGCATCTCAGTTTTATCACAATTTAGGAGCAGGAAATTACATGACATCCAGGATTTCACAGCAGATAAACAGGCCTCTATAGATTTCTAATTTGAGCATCATCGTCTGCCTTTACAGGCACCAACAGCTGAGTATCATCACCGTAACAGTGGAAATTCATTCCAAAACTGAGTGTAATTTGGCCAAGAGGAGTAATATATAAAGAGAAAAGCAGCTGGCCAAGAAAGAGTCCTGAGGTGTTCCATATTTCACCTCAGGGTCAAGGAGACAATGTTTCATCTAAACCAGGGTGTAGACCTCTTTGATTGTCTAATTGATAGAAAGAGGTGCAATTGAATATAGTAGGGAAGAAAGGGCTTTGTTTAAGTCACTAGTACAATTTTCAGCAGGCTTTGTTGCTGTCGAGGAGCCAAGACTGCAGGCAACGGTTCATTAAGTGCCATTAAAGTTGCAGGGGCCATTGTAGCAAAAACATCTGCAGTTAAGTACAGTAATTTTAAATTACATGTAATTTACATCAATTAAAAAAAAATACAGTAAGGCTCTGTATACAGTGGTGACGTCAGCTACAATTCCCGGGAATTACAGTAATTTACTGGGAAAAATTGTTACAGTATTTTACTGTGGTGTATGTGGTAATTAACTATAGAAATTACAGAAATGTCTAACAGTGTGTGTCAACATGAAAAAGACATCACCAAATTCTTCTAAAAGTTGGGAGTAAGGGGCTGATGATCTATAGAGTACCACAAGGTGGAGTGCCTCAAATTAATTAATTACTTAATTGTTCAGAGGTTAAGTTGAAAATAAACGTAATTAAATCAACACCTCCACAGTGACCTTCAGTGCCCTGAGCAGCATTCAGCCATGATTCACATAAACCAATCATGTCCAAATTATCCTCAAGAATCAAATCTTTTGACAATAAGGCTTTGGTAGATAATGGATATTAATCCAATTTGAAGGTCTTGTTATGGCTGCAGTTTTCAGTATTGGACAAATCAGTGGTGCTGCAAATAGCTAATGTTGTTGAAACCAGATATGTTTTGTTATTAAAAAAAGGTTTTAGAGGCCATCGTATGTGATGCTGTAGGGTTACAGTAGTGATGTTTTTTATGAAGTTACCAGGTGCTTTCAGGGATGTTTCATTGTGGTGGGGTGGGGTAAATTTTTGGGGAAGCCAAGTGAGAGGGGATGTCCTTTTTGGAGGGCAATTATCTAATGCATTGTGCTATTACAGTGCAGGGTATAATTTTACACAAAATTGAATCATACTTTAAAGAACCATACTATCTGAAAGTTGCATTTACCGAGACGTACGCTCTCTCTCTCTCTTTCTCACTCACTCAGTCTCTCACCCCAAATAGCATGTATAGCCCGCTGCTTATAGTGCACAGTACAAATAGGCTACGGTTAAGAATAAAAGAAGCATTCACAAGCTCAATCAGGAGACATTTGAAGTTTTTACATTTGCATAGTAACAGCAGTGGTGCATGTATCAAATAGGCCTACTTCTTAATGCTTGGCCAAATGTTCATAACACAACATCACTCAAGACTAACAACTGAGTACCAGACCAACAGAGTGAAAACAATTATTCAGGTATAGCCTAACTTGGACCAGTGCCCTGTGGCAGGTGCTGTCTGTGGTGCTCATTATCTATGTGTACACAACAAGGTTACTTCAGCAGACTATTCATTCGCAGCTAAATCCAGGCAAGCAAAGCAAAATAAACAATATAACCACTTAAGTGGCTGCTGTAGTGGTAGTTTAGTATTTATAACTAAAAGCTCCAAATCTCCACCCTCCATAACTGCACCAGCTAAAGTTGCTAACAGCTCCCATTATTTCATCTGAATGACGTTGATCGCATGCTGTGATTTGATTGGCGTGAATTTTCCCTTGGCATCATCCTGACTAATCACAGTTAGGAAGTGACATGACAGTGGTCTCATCTGATTGGTTAATCATTTCATTTTCTTTCAAAAAAGGGATGCCAACTCTGCCTGGCCTCCTCGTGTAGTCAGACTGCAGGTCAGTCTACAGTGGTGCAATATAGTGTTTCACCACACATCCAACGCATAGCATTCAGAGGGGCGCTGTTTCACACAGACACAAACCAATTTAGGTTGTCCCTGGTAGAATTATTCCTGATGCTTTTCTTTCAGTTACTTATTTAAATTAATTATTATTCCAGCTCTCATGGCTGTGTTGTGTTGCTTATTTAGTGTGTGTGACTGTTTCTTGTTTTCATTTTTCTCTTAGTTGTCTTACTATGTCAGCTGTTTATTGCTGCTGTTCGGCTGGTTGTCTTTTACTATTATTATTATTTTTATTGTTTATTTTTGTTTGTGTTTGTTTGTTGTTGTTGTTTTTCTCCTCCCCAAGCCACCCTCTCTGTTCTATTGCCGGTTTCGTTGCTTTCTGCAATTGGTGTTTCCCACAGCTTTTCCCTGTTGTCCCCACCTTCCATCCCCCTTTCCCCCTTCTCTTACAGTTGTTGTCCTTTCTCTGTGCTGTCTGTTTGTGCCCCCCCATCCCCGTGTCTGCCCCCCTGTCCGGCCCGGTGACAAATCAATACATAATTAAATAAATAATAAAACAGACAAAGGAGTATTTTAATACTCTCTTGTTAAAGTAAAATCTGTCTGGCACAATATGGTATCCAGGTCATTATACTCTATACCAGGCTGCTGGGCAGGACAGGTTTAAGAAAAACAAAACAAAAAAAAGGGGCACTGTTTCACTTATTGTAAAATAGTGAGAAATGGGGAAGAGATTACAGCAACAGCTCATTAGAATTATCGAAACTATAAACATTGTGTTTTTATTAAAATGATAAATGTGATCAATTATAAATGTGATGTGATAAATGATGAGGGGGGAACCTGGCTTCCCTTGGCCTCTGGGAGAAAACGCCACTGCCTGAGACCACCAGTGAGCTGCACTAACTTCACTGTAGAGTACCAACAGCCCTTTCTCTTGTTTCATTTCCACAGGACACAGTAGAAGCATACTATGTCAACACAGTGACTGGGTTGTCATCATGAGGAGAGGAGGAAGATGTCATGTTCACTATAAATGCAACGACACTGTATTGTCTGTTCTGGATTCATGTCTTAGTCTTAGTACCACTTACAATAAAGTGTGACATTTTCTCCAAGCCAGCAAAAACTAAATGGTACTATCTTTATAGATGACCCCAGACTTGGGTGAATAATATTTTTATGTAATGTTTTTTTACTGCTCTGTGTTTCTTTGCTAAAGTGAGCATAACAATAAAGTAAAAACATCTTCTTTAATAATTTCTTATGTGATAGTGTCACAACTGTATCAATGACTCCTGACATAATGTGACTTTTAAAGTGCAAGATTGAGAAGTCATAGGTCATTATTATTGTGAGTTACATTAAAATTAAACATTTTTGAGGATGAGTCAGTTGTTTGAAACTAAAAGATTTTAAGATGTCGTCATATCCCGCTTCCTTTCTCACAGGATGTGAGCAGTAAGGACAAAACTGTCATGTGATATCTGGCAGCTTTGCAACACAAAAAGTGAACAGCAAATCCTCTTTCTCTCATATTACAGCAGCGATGTTAGTTGGTGTGTTACAGTTCTGCTAAAATTGACAAATTGCCTCATTTCACTCTAAAACCATCACACTCATCAACAACCAACAATTTATTTTCCAGCTGTGGGCTTGTTTGGTAAGGAAAGATTTTAATGCTTTTTTTTCTGTGCTTCTTAAAACTTAAATTTCATTGTTCGTCATGTACTGCCCTGTGTTTGCAAATCTAGGTTTCTGTCTGAAAATGGTGTCAAGCAGCATGTTGCTGAGTGTCCTATTTGTTTCAGGTGAGCTGTTCTGTTATTTGGTTATATGTTATTTGAAGAATTTACAATCTGAACTTCCAATCAGAAATACTAGCACAGAAAGACTTAATTTTTCCAACTGGTCATGTCCTGACTGCAAAGTGAAATGTTTTATAAAGAAATTGTCAACAGGTCAGGGAAAAAAGACCAGCAGGCAAAATACAGCTGCTTTATCATGATCATTCTCTTCTAGAAGACTTTGCTTCACATTTTGTTAATCATCTGGTTTTACAGGTGTTTTGGCTGATTGTTCTAAGCCAGCAGCCTTCTTCATCACTGCACCACAGAAGATAGAAGCACTGAGTGGATCTTGTTTGCAAATCCCATGTAACTTTAGTGTTAAACCTGGACAAGAGTTTGACAGCAGAAAAGAAACCTTCGGAGTGTGGATTAAAAGTGACTCCAGGTTTCAAATCAATCCAGAAAATGTGATTTTCAACAGTAGAGGGACAGTTAACACATATCGAATGAGGATTACTGGAAACCTGAGTCAGAAAAACTGCAGCACTCTGTTTTCCAGTTTACTCACAAGTTATACAAACACATACTTCTTCAGAATTGAGAACAAACTATTCATGGCAACAGCATCTTGTGATCCTCTTCAAATAACAGTTAAAGGTGAGATTTTTTTATTAGTCAGATTATATTGTTGTTTTACAGCAAGTGCCATGCCCTTCACCTTTATTGTGAATCTACTGTATGATGATCAATCGAAAATGCTGAAAAGTGCTTAAATATTAATACTTATAGAAATGTTTCCTTATTACATATTGAGAGGTATATATATTACATATTATATTTTTGTGTTACTGTTTAAAAGTTTGCATGTTCATGTGAACAGTGGGGATCTTCTGTCGCTTCATTTATAAACACACAGCTAAGTTTGAAACAAGTGTTTAGTAATTTTGTATTTCTTCTGGGGGTCAAATTGATTTGAAACCACAGATTCTCCTCCGAGCCCCAGAATTGAGATCCCAGCTGATCTGAAGGAGAAGCAGTCTGTCACTATAACCTGCTCAGCTTCCACTCCCTGTCCACACTCCCCTCCTAAACTCACCTGGAACCTCCAACAAGACTCTCACAGCAACACAGAGGAAAACACCGATCGAACCTTTACAACTAAAATCCAGGAGACCATCACTCTGTCAGACCAACATGATGGATACAACATCACCTGTTCTGCCACATATCCTGTGAATGAAGGAAAAGATGTCAAGACAGCAGAGGAGAGAAAGACTCTCAGTGTTTCATGTAAGACAAGCAGAGTTTGTTATTGGATCCTGTCAGCACATGATGATTGATGGGATGTCAGCTGATTTGAATAAAGTGAATCTCACATTTTCCTCAGATGCTCCTAGAGACACCTCAGTGTCCATCAGTCCATCAGGTTTGGTGTCAGCAGGTAGCTGGGTGAACCTGACCTGCTCCAGCAGAGCCAAGCCTCCCGTCAGCCGCTTCACCTGGTTCAAGAGCAGCAAAGATGGACCCAAGAATGTATCTGTAGGAGAGGTTTACAGCTTCAAGGTGACCAATGTCACTGATGGAGGAGTTTATTACTGTGTGGCTACTAATGATCTCGGTAATGAAACATCATCAGAGATCAATTTGACAAATAAAGGTAAAAATGGAACTGTTCTATATACTGAAATATAAGCTATTGTTATTGTGGGATAAATTTTATCAATGGAAATATATGCAGAATTTTCAAATGATGTGTTAAAATTCAAGAGAGATTGAGGGGGCATTAAAAATAATATTTACAGAGAAAAGTACGGTGGCCCTGAGAGGCCAACGCACTGCAACTAAAGAAAACACATTCAAATTCATCACTAAATGTGTTGTGTTGTCTAAATGTGTTGTGTTGTCGAAATGTGTTGTGTTGTCGAAATGTGTTGTTATCTAAATGTGTTGTGTTGTCGAAATGTGTTGTGTTATCTAAATGTGTTGTGTTGTCTTAATGTGCTGTGTTGTCGAAATGTGTTGTGTTATCTAAATGTGTTGTGTTGTCTAAATGTGCTGTGTTGTCGAAATGTGTTGTGTTGTGTTGTGTTATCTTAATGTGTTGTGTTGTCTTAATGTGTTGTGTTGTCGAAATGTGTTGTTATCTAAATGTGTTGTGTTGTCGAAATGTGTTGTGTTGTCTTAATGTGTTGTTATCTAAATGTGTTGTGTTGTCGAAATGTGTTGTGTTGTCTTAATGTGTTGTGTTGTCTTAATGTGTTGTGTTGTCTTAATGTGTTGTTATCTAAATGTGTTGTGTTGTCGAAATGTGTTGTGTTGTCTTAATGTGTTGTTATCTAAATGTGTTGTGTTGTCTAAATGTGTTGTGTTGTCTTAATGAGTTGTCTAAATGTGTTGTGTTGTCTTAATGAGTTGTCGTGTCTAAATGTGTTGTGTTGTCGAAATGTGTTGTGTTGTCGAAATGTGTTGTTATCTAAATGTGTTGTGTTGTCTAAATGTGTTGTGTTGTCGAAATGTGTTGTGTTATCTAAATGTGTTGTGTTGTCTTAATGTGCTGTGTTGTCGAAATGTGTTGTGTTGTCTTGTGTTGTGTTATCTAAATGTGTTGTGTTGTCTAAATGTGCTGTGTTGTCGAAATGTGTTGTGTTGTGTTATCTTAATGTGTTGTGTTGTCTTAATGTGTTGTGTTGTCGAAATGTGTTGTGTTGTCTTAATGTGTTGTTATCTAAATGTGTTGTGTTGTCGAAATGTGTTGTGTTGTCTTGATGTGTTGTGTTGTCGAAATGTGTTGTGTTGTCTTAATATGTTGTGTTGTCGTAATGTGTTGTGTTGTCTTAATGTGTTGTGTTGTGTTGTGATGAATTTGAATGTTTTTTCTTAAGTTGCAGTGCCTCTCAGGGCCACTGTAGGAAAGTGTTGTTGAATATAATCTATAATATACTACATGAAAGTCTAACTGCATAAAATGTAGAATCAAGAAATTAGGAGATAGCACCGAGATTTGTGAATTAGAGTCTTTACAGTTTGGGAAATTACAAATGAAAATTGACAATGGGCAGAGAGAGAAAAGGAGAGAATTCCAGCAACAGAAGAAAAAAGGAGCAAAGTTGAGACAGAAGGGTTTTCAGGCTGAATTTTGCAAAAAAAGTAGTTTTTTGTACTATTGTACTGTATTATTGCACATCATTCAATTAATTCCACACCACGTCTGAAAACATAAATGATGCACAGCATCTTTGCATCTGGCACAAATCATTTTCAAAATATTGCATCACATGAAAGCCAGGTGACAGCCATGATTCTTATTATTTCGACTTAGTCACTTACAATGTTTTTTGTTTCTGAAGGAGCAAATCAGGGGGCAGTTGTTGGAGGGATCATTGTGGTCATTTTACTCATCTGTGTGGTTGTTGCCGTTTGGTAAGTAGGCTATCTTAAATCAATTTCATATCCAGATTTATCCATCCAAAACATTTGTATTTCTGTGCATATTTTAAAAGTGTGATTAGATTTTAATTACATTGGTATTTAATTAATATTAGTTATTTCTATCTCAAGGCCCTATTTCAGAAAGCAGGCTTAACAAACTCTGATCAGAATTAGTTCAATCAACCCTGAGTACGTTAAACCTGAATCTATTGGTGCTAGAAATATGATTACGTGCCAGTCTGCTCATTCAGCATTAACCAGACTTGAATTTCCTTAATGATGAAGTGCTGGTATTCTCCTATATTACATATAATAATAATATAATATATGTATTAAGCTGACAAAATTCCATTGACAATAAATTAAATTTAAAGTATTGATCACACGCACAAGACCTAGTTTACTCATGGACCTGTGATTGGTAAATCACAGTCCAACCCATTAATCATGATTTGTGTGATTTGCAGTTGAAAATGTGTCGAGATTCAAACTGACTGTAAAGTTTTAGATGTCTATTTTACATTAAAAATTTTACTCATTTTGCATTTAATGAAACAGGCTACTGTTAAAACACATAAAGACTATAAGCAGCTAATATTCAAAAAGTCATTGTAGCTGCACCTCAATAATCCTCATCATTACCTCTAGCATAATAACTATGATAGGAATGTTCCACAGGTGCGACTAATTACAACATGACAGATGATTGTTCATTGATCAGTTACAGCTTTTACAGATATCTTTGATTTAAAAAGTGATTACTGTGGTAATGTAGCCCACGCTAAATGTTTCAGTGCAACTTGCCTTAACGTCGAAAGAGTCACAATGTAGAGAAACTGTTTCTGTCCTTACATCGATGGCAGATTGACCATAAAAGCACTCATGTTAAAGATCATGTTTGGGTAACAAACTAATAACCGGGATTTCAATGTTTCTAAAACTTCTACAAATGAAAGCGATCCGTATGTGCTTTGATATCGATTGTATGAATGAGGAAATTAAACAGAGTTTCCCTCATGTCAGGCTTAACATACTCTGAAACAGGGCCCAGGTCTACATTTCATACTGTTGATTTTTCTATTTTGGTTGAATGTCTTCAATAATTAATTAATAATTAAAGTTCAACTTCAATACATGATTCTTTTTTCTTGAGTCTCTTATTATCACACAACTCGACTCACTAAATGGACATCTAAGTTATGAAAACAATTGGATAACACAAAAGATTTGGGAACTATGTTGACAAATCAGTGTAAGAAACCTTAGATGATTAGAAAAATGCGCTGCAGAAACCAGCCGTTCTCTTTTATGATAAATTGAATCTATCAAAGCACATTAGTGCAGTTACACAATCCTGTTTCCTTCAGTTTCATAAAATATATAGGATTGAATTATCCTTATTATTTTCTATACGCATTTATCACATCTTGTAGTGACTAGTGTACCTCCATGTCCGATCTATTAGACATGTCTGGAAGTCAGTTATTACACAATGTTGCAGGCCAAATTCTCACTAGATCCACAATGAGTGAACAATTAAAGTAAATATAGTTTCATTACTCTGGGTAACTCAGAGTTTTAGATTGTAACTGTTTTTATTAATTTTTAAAGCACCAAAAGACACTTTGCTTTCAAAACCTCTAAGTTATGAAATTACATTACATTTTTTTTTTGGCTGGCACTTTTATCCAAAGCGACTTACAATTACTGTGTTTGTCAGAGGTCACACACCTCTGGAGCAACTAGTGGCTAAGGGACACATTGGTGGATTTATCACAGTGGGGAATCAAACCTGGGTCTCTCATACAAAAGGCATGTGTCTTATCCACTGCACAATCGCCACCCCATATGACTTGCTTTAATATATTTATTGTTATTGCATTATTAATTTTTATCACACAAAACAAAAAGCTGACAGCCCTCTTATGTCTTCCAGGTGGATAAAGTCAAAACATCAAACTTTACAACAGACACAGGTGGGAAAATACTTTAATGTGCAGTACAGAATGTTATGAATATGTTTCTAACTATTCATCGAGATTTAGACTGGATTAAACAGGTTCCCCTTCGAACTGCGTCAGTGATGACACTATGAGAACGCCTCTGGGCGTGGCAGGGCTGAATTATGAATGAAACTACTCCAATTCTATTATTGTTGCTAGAACGGTAGCATGTGACGGCGTAACTGGAGGCGTATGTAACCACGCCGGCACACTGGACACATTAGCTTTTTTCTATTTAGCAGGCACTCTGAGTATGTTTGAAAGCTCCACTATTGAAAGATCGTCTTCAAATGACGTCGTTCCCGACGAAGCAGAAGAGATCATGTCTGGTAAACAGTTCCGACAGTGTGTTTTTCCTTGTCCGCGCTACATCATGGCTGGGGATACTCACGAGATGTGTGTTTCCTGCCTAGGGATGTCGCACGCCCAGGCAGCTCTTGAGGGGGCTGCCTGCGGCCATTGCGAGGCCCTGTCCCTGAGGGTGCTGAGGTCGCATGCGGCTCTCTTTTCGGTGGATGGTCGGATGCGCTCTCTTGCTGAGGCGTCGTGGCGGCTGCGTACCTGGGGATCACAGCGCGATATCTCCAAGGGCATCGGGACCGCTGAGGCTTTTTCCCGGTCCTCTTCTGCTGACTCCCCCTCCCCTCTTCCCAGATCGGGAGCCCGTTTTTCGGCTTCTCCCGCTCGAGGCATGAGTTCGGAGAGGCTTGCACAGTCTGACCACGAGGTGATAGACGTGCTTAGCATCATGGAGGATGACTTCCGGGAGCCGGGCCGACGTCATCAGTCTTCGGCCAGCGACGATGAGTTATTGGAGGTGGTGACGAGGGTTGCGGCCAAGCTAAGCATTGATTGGCCACAGGCGGTGCAGGAGCCACAGGCCGGCAGTAAACTGAATGAGCGTTTTCTGCAGCACTGCGCGCCACCCCCGCGCCGGTCTTTGCCATTCTTTCCTGATTTGCACAATGAGTTGTGTAAATCTTGGAATAGAACCTTTTCTGCACGGCTGACTACTTCCCCTGTGCTGGATTACAGCAACGTGACAGAAATTAAGCAGCACGGCTACGGAGTGATGCCACGGGTTGAGGAGGCGTTAGCGAGTTATCTTTCTCCCATCCTCGCGTCATCCCTCAAGACGTCGGCGCTGCCCACCAAGCCATGTTGGGCAACATCCGCTCTGGTGGGCAAGGCTTACATGGCGGCGGGTCGAGCTGGTGCAAGCCTGCACACGATGGCCATCCTGCAGGCATACCAGGCCGATCTACTCAAAGACTGTGACCAAGGGGGAGGCCCCTCTGAGGAGGACTTAACCGAGCTCCGTAGAGCTACGGATTTAGCGCCCTCTTCTAGCTCCTAAGGCCAGAGCCAGAAGCCAAGCGTCGCTTCCCGTGATCCCCCTCAACCAACCTGGGAGGCAAGGCGGCGGCCCACCTCCACGGATTGCAGCCAGAAGACGATCAGGCTCACACACCGTGGGTCGCCGGCGAGTTTTCCCTGGCGGTCCTCCGCTTCAGGGTGCCACCGGGGACCTACGCATAACACCGGCCACCAGCCCCGAGGGAGCGATCATTTCCCCGGGGTGGGTCAGAGCCATCCTGCACCCCTGTCCAGGCTATGTCCCTAAGGTTCCGTCCAGTTTGGCAGGGTCCACGGTGCTGCAGGCGTTTCATCCCCCACCTCATGTGACGGCGGAGGACGGGAGACTTCATCTGCTCTGCCCTGTCAGAGCACTGAGTATTTACACTCTGAGGTCTTCCCAGTGGAGGAAAGCAGACCAGTTTATGGTGTGTTTCGGGTCCCCCAAGGCTGGGCTCCCCGCTTCTAAACACACCATCAGCAACTGGATCGTTCAGACTGTTCCCTGGGCTATCATGTGTGCGGGTTGCCTTCACCTATGGCCGTGAAGGCACACTCTACTCGAGGCATGGTGGCCTCTAGGGTCCTCCTCGCAGGGGCTTCGCTCCAGGATTTGTGTGAGGCAGTTGGCTGGGCCACTCCTCACACTTTCATCCGGATTTACAGTCTAGACCTTCCTTCTGCATCTGGCACCTGTGCGCTCTCCTCTTAGTCGTGTCTACAGGTTTCTGCATGCTGGGGGCAAGTGGGGTTTTTGTAACCCTTGTTCCCCGAGAAGGGGAACGAGACACTGCGTCGGTCCGCCACACCTCACCCCGCTTGGAGTGCCTTGCTTTATAGCAAAGAGCTAATGTGTCCGGTGTGCCGGCGTGCTTATATACGCCTCCAGTTACGCCGTCACATGCTACCGTTCTAGCAACACCAATAGAACTGGAGTAGTTTCACTCATAATTCAGCCCTGCCACGCCCAGAGGCGTTCTCATAGTGTCGTCACCAACGCAGTGTCTTGTTCCCCTTCTCGGGGAACACGGGTTACATACATAACCCAAGACGTTCCTCATTAGTGAGTACATGTGGAGAAACACAGGAAATGTCAGAAACGAGACATCCTGTTGGAAACTCACATTAACACTCCACGTATGCATCTACAAATGCATAAAATTTTTCAGATTATTTTTCATCTTTCTTTGGGCACAACCACAATATTTTTCATAGCTGTTTCCAATAAAAGCAACTTCTGATGATTATCACTTTACAACATACAAGGTTAAAATTAAGTTTGTAACTCCCTTCTGCTAAATGGCAGACAATATACAGTAATACAAAAGCAATCATAAGAATGGTAGACAAAAATCTATACTATATTCACTGGAGCAGTGTTGAGGATAAATTTGAGTTTAAAAGTCTCATAGCTTGAATGAAAAGCTGCTCTGCAGTCTGGTGGTGCAGCAGCAGAAACTTCTATGTCTCTTTCCAGAAGGCAGCAGGGTGAACAGGCTGTGGCTGGGTGGGTACTGTCCTTTAACATCCTTTGGGCTCTGCATAGGCACCTCACCTTACCGATGTCACTGATCACTGATATCACAGTGGGAGCTGAGTGAGCGACAAAAGGAGGAAGTAAACTAAACTGAAGGAAGTCATGAGGTCCTTCTCTCCACATCATTTCTTGTTTGGTTCATTTTTCACAGAGCCTAACAGCTGAAGAACCAGCCAGAGCAACAGAAAAGGAAGACATCCATTATGGAGAGATCAAGTTTTTCAAGCTGAGACCTGATCCGTCCTCTGACTCAGCACAGGACAGAGGACAGCAGCAGGATACTCTGTATGCACAAGTCAAGGTGTCCCAGCCAGCAAAAAGCTTAACACAGACTGTTGAGGGCCCAGAGGATCTTTACGCTCAAGTGAAGACAAAATGATTGCTCATGTAACATGCATCATATCTATTTATCATACATGGATTTAAGTTTAATTACAGCTAAACCAAAGATGAAGTAAAGTCATTGTTTCTGCCTGTGAGGTTTTTATTTTTTACACTTTAATTAAAGGCTTGGAACACAAAAAACATTTTACTTATTGCGTGAAACATAACCTAAATCATACCATTTACTCTCAAGATTTAAAGAGGTCATATTGTGCTTTTTGGCTTTTTCGCTCTCCTTCTTATTGAGTTTATATATTTTTTGTGCATGTAACAGGTTTGCAAAGTGAAAAAGCCCAAAGTCCACCCCAACGGGAGTTCCCATCTCCCACAGAAAACACTGCTCTGAACTGCCTGAAAACAGCTTGATTGTAGTCCAGCCTTTTCCCTTTGTTCTCTCTGACGTCACAGCAAAACACACGTCATAATGCTCACCTAGCTGCTAGTCAGACACACCCTCAAAAACACCGGTGGAAAAACACTGAGCTGCAGCACACAGTAATAAGACGTCCTCCACAATTAGCTACCCTCCAGGCAGTCAATGGACATAAAGTTGTTACTGTGATGTAGAGACAGCACAGTTAAAACTTTATGGATTAAAGATACATTTGTTATAGATTAATAACTTACCACTCTGAAACTCTTGCTCAAGGCCATGTTGCTAAGCTGGTTAAGGGGAACATATACAGCTGAACCGAAGCCGTGTTTACTGGCTTCTCACAAGTAGTTCTTAACTAGGAACAGCACATGTGCAACTCCCAACAAAGATCTTGTAGAGGTAAGATGTATCACTCCATAGCTAAAACAAAGCATTCAACACAAAGGGTGAAAAGAGGATATGCAGTATGACAATAAATATGCTGTTTTTTGAAAATGAAACCATGTATCCTGTTCTGGTACAACCCCTAAATAAGATTTTGAACCTGAAAATGAGAATAATATGACCTCTTTAAAAAAAAGAAAAGGAAACTAGTTACTTGCCAATTTTTTTTATATCAAGCTTAGCAGGTTAAGATAGCAACAATAAATACTGTGCAAACAATTTCATATTCCATACGCTATAAGGTGACAAAAAATAAAACCTAGTGGTAAAACTGCAAAATATTTGCATTCTCTCATTTGGCTGAGTTTATGTTGCCTCCCTCCTCTTCCTGTCTCACAAGATACGATCAGTGGCCCAGTTCCAATCTCTACCCAAAAGCCTAAGGCCTGGATCCTCACAGACTTCGTTGATGTCACCTGCCTGTCTCTATAGAGTTGTGTAATTATTGGGCTAAAGTGATGTAACTTAGGCTACTTCCGTGCACCAATCAGGATTGAGCAACATTTGACTCACAATCTGACAGTTGATGGGTTGTTTGTCACTAGTCAACCAAAACTGATCAAAACTACACCCCTGAAGCAGAGTAGTCGAGTTTTCAGTGTTAAACTGTTAATAAATAATAGCTAAATATTTTAATTAGTAAGTTAAATACTTGATGCCAAGCTTTCTGGGGCTTTAAGTTTGGCCACAACGGAAGTGAACCACAACGGAAGTTGACAATGAAAGAGACGCTTAGTAACAGTGAATTACTCTCCACAGAACACAGCTACACAGTAGTACAGCGGCAGTGTAGCTGTTCCACATTCAGGAGGTCCGGGTTTGAACTGTAGAAAGAACATTCTTTTTCACGTGACTAATAATAGTGTCTGCCAAATTAGTAAATGTAGTCCTACATGGAAGAAGAACTTCTTACCCGTTTGATAAATAAGTAATACTTCTGTTCTGGTCAAAAAATATACAGCGGGATATTTGTGTGAATTAAACAGCTGTCTGTGCAGACGTCCATGTAGGCCTACATTTACTAATTTGGCAGACACTTTTATACGGAAAGAAGTCACTTGAAAAAGAATGTTCTTTCTACAATTCAAACACGGACCTCCTGAATGTGGGACGGCTACACTGCTGCTGTACTACTGTGTAGCTGTGTTCTGTAGAGAGTAATTTTTTTTTTTCTTTTATTACAAGAATTATATAGTTACAGTTCACGTTTTCATAAGGAAGACAAAATAAAAACAGTTAAAAAAATAAAAAAAACAATACAACAACAAAAATAAAGTACACAGCCAGAGTATCAAACAATAAATATCAGTTAAATTAATTATAAAGTTAAATTAGATAAATGTTCCGCGGAGAGTAATCCACTGTTACTAAGCGTCTCTTTCGTTGTCAACTTCCGTTGTGGCCTTTTGTATTTCCGTTGTTCGTGTTGTGGCTTTTGTATTTGTGTTGTGGGATTTGTGTTCGTGTTGTGGCTTTTGTATTAGGCCTGAAACCTATGGGCCACCATAAGAAGGGCACACAGTGTTCAGCTTCTTGTCAAAAGACACATTGACCGGACTCATCAGTGACTACGTTTACATGCTGTCAATATTCGGGTTATGTTCAGGTTAAGGTCACTATTCGGGTTTCTGAAACATTCGGGATAACCCGTTTACATGCGTGAGCAGAGAGAGTTACTCCTGTATACATGGAATTTGTAATCAATATACATGGAATTTGTAATCAATTGGCACTACCCCGATGTAAACGGCGACGCACGGTTAACGTCTGGACGTACGGACAACCTTAAGACGTAATATGCGTCATTTCCGATTCTTCTTCCTGTATGTATCCAAAGACAACAACAACAACAGCAGGCGGATGGATAATGAATAGTTCGGGGCAGATAGCGATCGCCTTTGTTTGCGCTTTAGTGCTGGTACTGACCCACCAGCAGCACTTGACACTACTGTGCCTCGCCATGTTTACCTCGTTTACTTCCGTATACTGCACGCGGGTTTGGCGCATACAAAAAGTTCCTCTACTCAAAAGACCAAGATTCCTTGTGAATAGAACATGCGCAGAACACAAATCACTGACTACGTTTACATGCTGTCAATATTCGGGTTATGTTCGGGTTAAGGTCACTATTCGGGTTTTTGAAACATTCGGGATAACCCGTTTACATGCGCGAGCAGAGAGAGTTACTCCTGTATACATGGAATTTGTAATCAATTGGCACTACCCCGATGTAAACGGTGACGCATGGTTAACGTCTGGATGTACGGACAACCTTAAGACGCAATGTGCGTCATTTACGATTCTTCTTTTCGGTCACCTTCTTGTAAATGTCAGTATCTCTGTACTTTCTACCGTCAACAAAAGACATTATATTCATGTTTTTGACAACATGAATTAAAAAACTGGTTTCCTCCTTGCTCCAGAAGTACGGTGCTGCGCTGCGTCTCGCCATGTTTACCTCGTTTACTTCCGTATACTGCACGCGGGTTTGGCGCATACAAGAAGTTCCTCTACTCAAAAGACCAAGATTCCTTGCGAATAGAACATGCGCAGAACACAAATCACTATGGGGATATGCCGATACGCGTTTACATGACCAAAAATTCGGGTTAGAAAAGGGGTACCCCAGCTATAATATCCCGGTTTTTAAAATCCGGGATATGAGCATATTCGGGTTTTTGCCGGTGTTTACATGGCCGTTCGCGACCGGGTTATTGGTAATATCCCGGTTTTGAACGGGTTATTGGCTGCATGTAAACGCAGTCAGTGATGTTGGACATGGCAAGTTTTTTAAATATCACCAGTACCAGTTCTGATTACTCATTTGCTGTTATTTTAAACCACATAATCAGCAAAGAAGAAGCAGAAGCTTGAAATAAAATATTTACGAAGAGCAAATATACTGAACAAAGGGCTCTAGGTGATGTAGGAGGAAGCTGAAAGGTTTTCAAGTTGGGTTTACTGTTATGGAATAAAAGCAACCACAGGTTTTACATTAAAACAGTGAATTATATTTTAATCTAAATTTATTTTCTTTGTATATAATTCACTGTTTTCAGTGTCAGTCTTCTTTCTCTCACATACAAGCAGTTAATGTGAGAACTTCTTGTCTGATTATATTTAGCAGATGCACATGAAAACCAACTGGACTGTTTTACTCTGTCTTCTCGAAACTGGGGAAGTCAACTTGGTTTTAAGTTACAAAACAGGGAAGTTTGTTATTTGGTGTTTTGCACGTCAGCTCAAATTCTACCAACTAAAGGATTTCCTATTTAAAAATCATTCAAAGGATCTCATTGCTGCTCCCTTTCTGGTATGGACTTTTGTAACTGATTTGACTTTTTAGCCATAACAATTATATTATTTTGTTACTCTTGTTACTCTTCCTCCACCAAACAAATGCATGAAAAAAAAAAAAAATGTTTTAGAGCAGTTCACTATTATATATACACTACCGTTCAAAAGTTTGGGGTCACCCAAACAATTTTGTGTTTTCCTGAAAAGTCACACTTATTCACCACCATACGTTGTGAAATGAATAGAAAATGGAGTCAAGACATTGACATGGTTAGAAATAATGATTTGTATTTGAAATAAGATCTTTTTTACATCAAACTTTGCTTTCGTCAAAGAATCCTCCATTTGCAGCAATTACAGCATTGCAGACCTTTGGCATTCTAGCTGTTAATTTGTTGAGGTAATCTGGAGAAATTGCACCCCACGCTTCCAGAAGCAGCTCCCACAAGTTGGATTGGTTGGATGGGCACTTCTTGCGTACCATACGGTCAAGCTGCTCCCACAACAGCTCAATGGGGTTCAGATCTGGTGACTGCGCTGGCCACTCCATTACCGATAGAATACCAGCTGCCTGCTTCTGCTCTAAATAGTTCTTGCACAATTTGGAGGTGTGTTTAGGGTCATTGTCCTGTTGTAGGATGAAATTGGCTCCAATCAAGCGCTGTCCACTGGGTATGGCATGGCGTTGCAAAATGGAGTGATAGCCTTTCTTATTCAGAATCCCTTTTACCCTGTACAAATCTCCCACCTTACCAGCACCAAAGCAACCCCAGACCATCATATTACCTCCACCATGCTTAACAGATGGAGTCAGGCATTCTTCCAGCATCTTTTCATTTGTTCTGCGTCTCACAAACGTTCTTCTTTGTGATCCAAACACCTCAAACTTGGATTCATCCGTCCACAACACTTTTTTCCAGTCTTCCTCTGTCCAATGTCTGTGTTCTTTTGCCCATCTTAATCTTTTTCTTTTATTGGCCAGTCTCAGATATGGCTTTTTCTTTGCCACTCTGCCCTGAAGCCC